TTCCTCTACGATAATTTTTTAACTTGATAAAATCATATCAGAAGGAATCAAAAATGATTCAGTGAAGTAGAAATTTATTGTTAGTATTACCGAAGGGATCACTTTCTTGTGATCGGAACAACATCATGAAAAGAGTTATTGAATAATTCTAAGAAGTACACCAACCGAAATCAGCCAACATTTGTTTGTCAACCTCTTCAATTCCTATTCGATATCCTCAAATTTCCTCTGAGTGGTGCACTTTATCGCTTTAAAAACCATTGCGTTGGACGACCTCATGCAGATTATCTTCTTGAATTCGTTGCGTCAATGTCGAGAGCGTGAATACGAGGTATTGTTCGTAAAATAGACCAGTTGACTGCTTCAGGATTTGGGGTTAACCGAAGCAGAAAAACAAAAGGGTTGGCGATGGAGCTGGATGAATTGCGCGCCGAGATCGCGCGGTTGTCATCGGCGCTAGAAGAGGCATCCGCAGCTAACATAAAGGTTCCTTTTGAAAATACCGAACTTGAAGTTTTGTTGCGTTGGTCAAAATGACAGGTGATCGTGTATCGTTGAAACTAGCAAGATATGATAATCTAGCAGAGTGTTTACAGGCGGGGGAATACGGTTTACAGATACTCGATGAAAAGCAACANGAGATGCTTGTTCTCGTGAATAGTTTCATCGTTGCATATGTTTGCCTTCTTTGATTCTGTCACCAATTAATCAGCTATTACTGTTTAGGCATTGGCACAATTTCAATCACAGCAAAAATCAGTTGTAAAATCAGAAATCGATCATGAAGAAAGTCTTCTGGAAGAGACTATGAATAGGGAACAAGAATACGTGTCACGAATTGCATCATTGGAGTTTGAACTGAAAAGCACACAACAGGTTCGCTCGTATTTCCGTTCATTTTTGATCAGTTCAAACATGAAACTTGCATTCAGTAATATATTCTACGTAAGCGTTTTTTTTTTTGGAAATTTGCACAAAATTTTTGACGCAAAAATTTTGATACACAAGATTAATACAAAAATTTTTTGTATTAATCTGTTGTGAATTCAGGAAAAAATTCACATAATTGAATTGACAGGAACTGGAGAGGTACCGATCCGACTTGGATCGGCTTCAAACACTTCACACAAGTGCCTCAGAAACAGCGCTTGACCTTGATACACAGAAAAAACATTTGAAAGAGGAGCTGAGAGAGTTGAAGCTTCGTGAGCAAAGGCTACTCAACGATTACTCGGAGCTCGAGGAAGAAAATATCGGCCTCCAGAAACAGGTGAATTTTCCACGATACAAT